GGCTTAGGGAAGCGAGCTAGGTGCCAGGCACAGAAGAGCAGAGATTTTCCAGCTTCGAGGCACTTCCCTGAGCTCTGCTCAGCAGAAGCAATGCTGCTGATTGTGGTGGAAGTGGAGCACAGCCCCAGCAAATCAAAGAGGTAGGAAGCAAGTGTGTGTGAGTGTGTGTGGTGAGAGAGACGGGGCAGGGTTGTTTCTGGGTCTCAGCAAGGAAGGCCTGATAACAAATGGCTTAATAAAATAACTGTTCTAATAAGCCAGAATAATCTTACGTCCCTCCAGATGCTGGGAACCCCACGTTCATGCATCATCAGATGGACCCTGGATGGATTTCTCCCACGGCACGCTGCACAGGTCCCACCTATGGAGAGAAGCTCCTTTTTGGTCATTGAACCTATTATACAGTTTTCTTACAAGAAAAAAAAAATTCTGTTAATCATTTCTACAGAAGAGAAGTTCATGTAGGAACTTCTTGCTGCACTGTTAGCTAAAGGCAAGGCCACACAGGTGGTGCAATCACCAAGTGGGAGCTACCCGCAGGCTCTGTTACAACGAGCTGGCTGAGTTTATCCTGCAGCCAAGGGGTATGTGCAGCACAACACAGCCTGAAGGCCATTCTGCATGTGCAGCGCAGCACAGCACAGGCTTGCCCCCACCCAGGCTAACTGTTACACGGACACATTATGACAAATATTTTTCCATCCAGCAGATCCATTTTTTAAACTTCATCTATCCCTCTGTCTGTGTCCCTAGAGGCATAGCTTTACCTCTGTGGCAGGCTAAAAGTGCAAGCCTGAACGCTTGAACAGAAAGTCGTGTTTGTAGAACATTGGGTTCAATAAGGGTTGTGCAGGGACTAGGTTTAGAGAGACACAGGAGTCGTGCTGCTGCATGGAATTCCTCATCTAGCCTTGACAGTTTACAATATTTCCGTTCAAAGGCACAAAATAAGTTGTGCCTGCAGGTATGTGTGGATAAACCTCTGAAAAAGAAGCTTGTTAGTCCTCAGTATGATCACATGTAGGTATTACAATGGAATAGTTGTATCTTATACTATAGACACTGCAAAGCAACATATGTATGTCACAGCTGATCCGAATATCCAGGCACTGTATTTCAGCTCTCAGGAGGAGCATCTCTAAAACAGTGTGCCTGAAGTTTTCCTTATGTCTTGCGTTCTTAGAGAAACAAGTCACAGAAAAAACATCCCAAACTTTGGCAAAAGCAAGGCACTCAGATACCATGGGGTTTAATTAGCCTCAGGCATATAAATTTATTGCACTATACAAAAATTTCAGCCTTATTACAAGTCTTGAAAAAAGCTAAGATAAATAAATCAGCAAATTTTTATTAATGCATTAAGCTGATTAAGCATCTCACAGTAGTAAAATATTCTAATATTCTGGACCTATAGAGTTCTGCACCTTCCTCCCCTTTTGGTAAAAGTGTGGCTTTTAGCACCCTTAAATTAGATCTTATTTTGTCATAGTAGCCTTCCCCTCTCTGTGTTGTAATCACTGACGTTCTTTAGGCTGTAAGAGAGACCTCCTTCTTTCCATGTCAGCAACAGTTCCTGTCACCTCAGATCTGTAGGGCTATATCATTATCATTAGGGGTGGTCATCTTAACACCCACCTAGACAACATGAATCAACAGTGACAGATTGCCTTCTTAATGGAGTTGACAATTCTGAATAGCTAAAGGTTTCAGAGGGAAATACTTTCATCTGGACTTTTCTGTTTAAAAAGTGCTTATGGACTTTGTTTGTCCTCTTAAAGCCTAATGTAAAACAAAAATTTAAACATCAGACCTACAGAATTTGCAGTTTCCTCTAGAAACTGGAACAAGTGGGTGTAAGCTTAAAAACAGAAAGTAAGATCTGTTTCTGGGCTTCATCTCTCAGCTATCAACTATTTAATATTTTAAAAACAAAATAAAACCCAAACAAGGCAATACATTGCACAGAGCATCCTTACATGTAACTGTGGAAGAATTAATGACTACGAAAGAGGAAACAATCAAAAACACAAGAAAAACCCCTAGAGTTTTCCCATTTCCAAAAATAAAATGAAACTGCTATTTGCAATGAAGTTTTTAGTTTAGAATTTTGTAATCAAAGTATGTATAGGAAACTTTCCCATGCGGTCCAATGGAAACATTTTCAAAGGAAAATCAATTCCTATGTGGTACACCTGATAGAAGTGGAGGACAAGAGAAAACAAAGGCTGCAGCTCTTCTCTGTACCTGCTATTGACTATTGTCCTTACCAAATGTCCTTCTGCTGACATTTAAGACAGAAAAGAAGAATATGAAAGGCTGGGAAAAAAGGAAGCAAGGCAGTAAAATGTTTATCATGCAAAATCAGAAACTCATTGGCAATAAAACACGCTGCACCGATAGAGCACTGGGACTAGACAATACCAGCCTTTCTATGATTTAACACAATTAAAAAATAAAGATCAAATGAAGCCCTGAAACTTTCTCCTTCATCTGATATGAAAAATCAGATATGTTACTGCTGGCGACAGCTGCAGTTTGTCACTTGGTCTGGAAAAGGCAAAAAAAACCCCAAGCAGTAACACAGTTTCTCAGCAACAGCCTTCAGCTTTAAACCAGGCGACAGAGTTCCAGCAAACCCACTTCCACTACATCTCAGCTGCAGCTCGTTTTTAGCCATGAAACCCATGTGACCCCAGCCAGAGCTGTAGAAGGCTGCCTACCCCCATCACAGGGTGTGGGGGAATTGGTGGGAGGGTGGCTGGAGACACCCAGTAACATGTTCCTGCCTTCTGAGATGAGTACAGAGCACGTAGCCCGTGCTGAAAGCAAGCTCTGGCACCAGACTAGCCACGTCAGTGCAAGGTGGCACCTGAGCTGGTTAGCTGTGCTGAGAGAAAAGAGTTCCTAGTTTGAATGCGCTGCTCTGCTAAAGTGGCTATGCGGCTTTTGGGAGCCAGGCTGGAGCTCTGTGTGGTCCTACTGCTTCAGATGGCCACAAGCTGGGTGCTCTGCACCACAGGTGCTGTTTTATGGGGCAACAGTTTTATGGAGTCACTAGTCCTGACTCTGAAGCCAGACCTGCAATCCTCCTGAATCTGAATTCTATTAATCTCAGGGAGACTCAGATTTCACTAACAATGCGAAGGAAAACCAGCAGTATTTCTCATCTCACTGAGTGTTTTTAGACTGGAATACAGCTAGATGACTCAATTTACAGTTATTTGCTAGAGCAGCTTCCAAGTTAAGGAAACCAGATGATGACTCAAAAGATTAATTCCAATCCTGTATTCCAAAAGGAAATCTCAGATGTTACAGAGCATTTGTAGCAACCGTTAGCTTGGAGGAAGTCAGAAGCAACTGTACTGATGTGTGGGCACTATGGTAGACTGGAATACAGCTAGATGACTCAATTTACAGTTATTTGCTAGAGCAGCTTCCAAGTTAAGGAAACCAGATGATGACTCAAAAGATTAATTCCAATCCTGTATTCCAAAAGGAAATCTCAGATGTTACAGAGCATTTGTAGCAACCGTTAGCTTGGAGGAAGTCAGAAGCAACTGTACTGATGTGTGGGCACTATGGTTATGTAGTCCATCTCCCATCCCTGCCTCTGCATGAGTTGGAGAATTTCTTCCAAGCAATTTTAACGGTTACTTCACAAAATACAGGACTACGGGCCTTCTTCACTTCCTAAAGTTAACACTGGAAAAATAAATTGCAGAAGAGTCAATGAATATTTGACCAGCTCCTCTTTTGAAACCCCATTTTTCAGATTTTCTAAATCTGTTCAAAAGAAAACCCGCCTTAAAAAAAAAACCACCAAGGAAAAAAGGAAAATCAAAAAAGAGAAGTATCTTTTTTTCATTCTCCTAGAACTGAACTGATTGAAAGGATATTGGCTGGCCCCTTTTAATGCCCCACCCCATCAATATCTTTAGGGGCAAATTTAACAGTTAAAAGTTAACAGTTAAAACAGTTAAAAAAAGAAAAACAACTTTACTCAAAATCCAGTTTTGAGACTTGCAGATATTTTCTTCCCAGACTTCCAGATGTTTTCTTTTTTCTTTTTTTTTTTTTTTTAATCTCCATTATAAAGGAGATAAAATTTTTGCCCAGGTTTACTACAATGTAAGGAACAGATATATGAGCATTTCCTCACAGTCCTAGATTTTATTGTTAATCGTTAATAATAAAATGATGGCTACTTTAAAAAGTCAAATAAAACCAATATAAAAACATGGTCGTTAGAGTATTACATACACATAGAACAAAACAGCTTAATACAATTATATCAGTTTTCTATTGTATCAAAGAGAGCATACTTTAGTACACAGCAAATAGAGATTCTGATTTCAACTTCAAATAGTCACTTTATACTTACTATAAAAAAATCTAATGAATTTTTTAAAAAGCAATCCTCAAGTCCAGATGTAATCCCTGGTATGTTAACTACACAGAAAACACAACTTTACAACTTCTGGGAGCAACTGCAAACCACAGAAGGAACAACTATTTCTGATTCAAATTAGCAGGAATAAACTGGCTTCCTAATCTCCAGGTGGCTTTTGAACATAGGTACATTCCCTCATCACAGTTTTTCTCAAGTTTTTCATTCCCATATCTTGTGCAAATACATGCTCCAGAAAGTTTCACATGCATTTTCTAAAACCTCCTGTCTTCAGAGTATCTAACACAGATACCAGATGCTCATTTGTATTGCTACAGCAGCCACAGCTTGCAATCTTGTGAAGTATTTATTCAGTGAAATGGGGTGATGTCACAGCAGCATGTCCAGTTCAGAAGCTCATTCCAAGGACTTCCTGTAGTGCTCTGTATGGCACAAACACAATATGCATATGGACCTTTTTATACTAATGGCACTGACATGAAACCACTTCAGAGTTAAACTGCACATCTGGAGAGGGGGACTACTGTGATCTAACTGTGGTTCATAAAAAAAAAAAAAAATTTAAAAATGCAGGACTTGACTGCAGCTTCCTTTACATAATGTGCGTTGACAATGCAAACCAGCCTTCTTCTTTTGGCTTTTCCACCTGCAAAAGAAGAAACCAGCTGAAATTCATACGTCATAAATTTCCCACAGACTTGCTAGTTAGTGCTTGGATTGCTGGTTAGTGTGTAGGATTGCTATGTGTCAGTTCACTGATACGTAGCAATTGTCTCCCAGAGGCACCATGGAGGTAGTCACACCACCTACTTTAGACACCTAGTTTAAGCCACATCTACCCTAAGTATTCGAGATTTTCCCTCTGGGGATGTATACTTTGCTGTCAGGATAGGGAGTCTTGAACCCTAACTTTGTTTCTCTTTATTAATTTAGGTTATTTTGGACAGCAGGAAAGACAGTATTAATATCTCCTCATGGTTGCTTTCAAGCATACAGATCTATGACTGGTTTACCAGACTGTATTACTGCCTGGAGTTCCCCATGAAAGCATCTCACTGTAGTCTATTCTTCTC